GCTTGTTTACTTTCCGCGTATTTGCTTTACGCGTGTTATTTTCCGCGTGTTTCCTCGTGTAAACCGTGTAGCTAGCTTAAATTTTATTTTATTTTAATTCAACATTACTTGTTTTAAATTAAGCTAGAAGTAGTAACTTATGTAAACCCAAAAAAGGTCAACTGCCAGTTCTTTCTGAAGACTATTTGCACCCTTCTACTGACTTTGTCTGCCTACTGTTAAACACATGAGGATAATTCCTCCGCAGTCATTTTAGAGCTCGTGAGTTTATGTTGCCGAAGCGTACGAGACTCTACAACCTCATTTTTTTTTTTGTTATCAGTTAGTAAGAGCCGCTCAACCGGTATTAGTGACGCTGACGGCCGTATCGTTGAGCTAGGGTTTGAATCCATATGAAGGCATGGGAATTTGTAAGCTTATAGTGTCCGTACTGCAATGGGGCACTCGAAATACACGGCTAGCCGAAAGCCTTCTCGAGAGGTAAAGGTAGGTGGAGAAAGGTGGGGCACCCTGGAACTGTTCTGCAGAGTATTTTCCATTATTTGGGGAGGAGCTACACAGTTTATGCGGATCTACTGTCTTGTGATAAAGGATTTTATTTTTATATTTGGACAAATTGTGCAATATAGGTCGTATAATTATTACTAAATATGGTCCTCAAACAATCCACACCTTACTTTTGTAAATTTTTACTTTAGTTGTAACACAATAGAACTGGTTAAATAAATTCAATAATGAGTTTAAAAATCCGTGCTTGTGTAAGATTATTGTAGTCAGGGTCACAACTTTTAAGCCAGAGTAAGTTTACAACACTTTAGAGTTCATATAATTCTCGCATTCTTCCATCTCCAGGGATACGAAACCTCTAATTATACTTGCATATAGCCAGTAATCTAGATGTGCGTTTTGGAGGACGCCAGCTACGTTTTTCTAGTAAGCGGCAAGAAATTTAAGGTATATTTTGATTGAAATATTAAGGTAGTTAATATACACTAGGTGTCAATTGTACTGATTGCATAATTAGATCCAGTAACTGTACTGATTGCATAACCGCATTGCTAAAAAGCTGAATCCGAATCTAATTACAGCATTATGTTACGTTAGCCAATCAGTCAAACATTTGTTGGCTTCACAGGAGAGCTTAAGAACAATAATAAAAAACTGTATTACGTAGCTTTTTCTTACTGATACGCAACAGAATTTTCCAAGGCATTTCATTCTCACACCTAAGTAATATTGCTTTCCATATCTTTAGAGCTTCAGATTCTTATCTTTCTCAACTTTGGAGAAAGGAAGTAAAATTATATAAAAGATGAAGCTCTTGATAATTTTCTAAACAAAACGTTAAAAGAATGAATCACTAGAAATAAGTAATCTTAAGGTGAAAAGCGGCAATAATGTTAACAGCTACTTAAAGAGGATATGAGAATAAAATGAGGTGTATACAAGTTGCTTAAGGAACCCTTTCATTTGATTTTGCGTTTTAGAAGCAGAGTTGTTAACATGGGAATTGTTATACTGGAGCTTTTAAGGAACATCCTCTAAAAGTCATTATGAAGACAATTGGCTGCAGAATGAATTTCCCTTTCTATTGTCAGGCGTGGTTAAATGAAGTCTCATCTGATGGTTTTTTTCAATAATGAATGTTTCTTTTCTATTTAGTAACTGCATTTTATTCATGAATCTTTTTTCTCAGGCCTGTTTGGCTGAATTGAAGACATTAATATTTTAACTAATACAATATTTTATTGAAATTAAAGTTATCATATAATTTCTGAAACAATACTAAGTGAAAATTATAAAAATATTTTATTAAATGAAAATTTCAAAAGTCAAAGGGAACTGTAATTATTGAAATGGACGTTTAACATTTAAAATGTACATAAATAGATATAATTTTTCATTAAAAACAGAGCTATGTAAATTTGCTTTACGTGTGCATGAAAGAGGAAAAAAACGTCTGAATAATACATGATCATGAATATAAACGTAAATGTAATTGAGTAGGTATTTTCAGATTGATATGCATTGAACAGAACGTTCAGATTAAGTTGAGTTGATCATTTCACATTTGAGTATACATCAAGAAGAAAGTCTAATATAATCATTGCTGTTGTGATCAACACTTAACGGATTTTTCAGAAGTTTCGAGTGAACAGGTGTGTAAAACTCTTATCTATTTGCTTGTCAGTAAAAAGAAAGAATTCATAAAGAAATAAAAAGAGGGAAAAAGAGAAATCGCAGCGTTTTGTGAAGATTCTTTATGTGCGAATAATGTTCAAACACATATAACGATTTAAAAAGTATTGCAAGTAAAAGTGCGTTGAATAGTCTGTTAATATGCGTTGAGTACTCTTGTGCGTATGCATATATACGACCCAAAACGTCTTATCTAAATTTGAAATGTTTATTTTTATCTGTATGCTGCTGTCTGCGTTAGAAACGCATGCATAATTTTCATGTATGTATAACATCTCTATAATTAGTTAAATATGTAATTTGCTAATATTCTATTTTGAGATCAATATTCCTGTATGTCGTAAATCAACGTGTTTTTGCTTTAGATATTTAGATTTATAATATTTATGATAAATTTCGATATTTCAGAAAAAAGAAATTTCCGTATGGTCAAGGCTATTATTATTTGATAAATAAAAAGAACTATCGGTACAGATGTAGAAAATGAATTCATATGCACGCAAACTATTTTTATTGTTATTAAAGTTATAAGAAAGTCTGAAATTAATCTTAGTATTTGTTAAGTTCCGTTTACTTCTTTAACCTAAGTTTTATTTCAATTTTAGCTATCTTTTCTATTTTTAATGCATGTTTGAATCTACGCTGTCATCAAGCTAAGACTCTCTGCATTAAAATTTCATGAATTCGCAGCATAAAACTGTGATGGCTTACTTTATGGACAGAGAGTTACAGCCGGAAGCGGTCTTTAAAAATTAAAACATAGGAAGTAAATATTTTTTTTAGAAGGTCTTCGAAGAATTGCCTGGCAGTAACCAATCGATTGTTCTAGGAAACCATTTTACCCGAGGATGAAATTGAACTAAAATTAATGAATTGTCATTTATTTGCGCGAACTTGAAACTTGTCAGAAAACTTCTTGTATTCTAGTTACAAGAAACAGATTTTAACTTCATTATATTTTTGATCTTCCGTTTAAGAGTTTAAATTAATTATATTTTTTTCTGCTATTATTTATTTCAAATTTATTACTGTAGAAGCTGTTAAAACTTCAGGCTTTTATTATTGTATTTTGTTCTCTTTTTAGCCCAAAGGCTATTAGTCTCAAAACGGCATGTTGCGTCTTCTCATTTTCTGCGCTGGTTCAGTTTGCAAACTGTTGCCTCCAAATTTTATTGCCATGTATCATATTTAAGGAAACTAAATAATGAATAATCTGTATAAAGGCATGAATATTTATCGCATTGTGAAAAAGCAACGTACCTACAGCCATCAAATTTTGAATAACGTAGTCTTTGCACCAAACATGGGCAACTGGAACCACGAATTTTGAATTCTGAATTTGTTTTATTATCTATTTCAAATTTTGTAAAATTTTAACGAATTTTTGATTAACAAACGCAACGATTTGAATTTGTTTTATCACTTATTTCAAATTTTGTAGAATTTTAACGAATTTTTGATTAACAAACACAACGATTTCAAAGCGAGTAACGGAAACACTGCACGAAAAAAAAAATAAAGAAAGAAAATCATTTTTATCTCTAGCGCGAAACTATGTATCGGAAATTCTGAAGATATGCTGGTTTTAAATATTTTGTGATAATGGTAATACACAAAATATTAAAAAACGCCTTTTTGGGTGTAATATGAAATCTAAAAGCTTTGAGATTTTCTTTCTTTAATTTTCTTTTTAACCCAAAGAGGGAATTTGTCCAGAAGGGCTATTAATTTCTTTTTGGTATTTTTTTTTTTTTTTTTTTTTTTGATAATTTTACTCACCTTAAGTCTAAAGATCCCAGCTTAACTTATTTAAAGATATAGGAGGTAAAGGAATTAATGTAAGAAATGAGGGACAATTTTGAGAATAGATTTGGAATAAAATTTATAAATATTTATAAATTAATAATTTTTTTCATTATAATTATAGGGTTAATTTATTGTTTCTTTTACCCTTCTTACATAAATGGGTGTGTTGGAAGCTGAGTTAAGGATTATGTTTCACACGCGTTGATAGTTTAGTCTAAAAGTTACGATTAGAATCCCTAAAACACCCACTTTCTTCCCGATTTTGCTTAGAATCTACAAATAAATCAATTAATTAAATCAAGTGGAAAAAAATAAGACTTTTCATTGGTAACTAGAAATCTCTAGCCAAAAGAATTAACATGAGCCGAGTACGTCTCGTAAACAACAAAAATCTAAAAATCTATATAATTGTATCTGCTGAAGAATAAGGTGAGCACTCATACAGGTATAGAATTTAGCAGATTATATACAACGTATGTTATATATGTATGTCGATATGTTTCAAAGAAAACTTAACGGGGGTGGTAGCAAATTAAAGTTAGATTTTTATTAATACATTTTTAATACATTATTATAATCTTTCAATTTTATAACTTATTACTATTTATCTTTTTCATAATTATTATAATAATATTTAAGATAAGGTATATCTTTGTGTCATTATTTTCAATACTAATGCGCAAAATTACTTCTTTTTCGTAACTATTAAATTTTTTTTGGTAACGAAAAGAAGAGGAAGACACTGACTGCGTGCTAATAATCATTATTTAGGTATAAATTCACTTAATAAAGAGCAGCTTAGTCAACAAAAGTAACCGGCGAAAAAGGTGCACAAGCTGTTTTACAGCTGCAAGCTCAAGTATTACGTATTTATATTATAACTGATTATAGACAGAGGCGACGCATTATATGTGACGTTTCTATCTATCACCTATCGATTCGGATCCTGCAATAATATAATAACTATCTCTAACTAGCGTTGCTAAGAAACTTACCAATCAGGATCCACTCGCCATTAGTGATGTACGTGCTTAGGTCCCCGCCTTCCTCGCTGGCCAGTCTCAAATCCAGCTGGAAGCCGTCGTAGGTCCAGGACCCAAATTTCATTTCACATTTTTGGTCATCGAAAGGGAACCATGTGATGTCGATTTTACACGTACTTTTGAAGATTCCGGGCGGGATATAAGTGCAGCTACCGTTGTTCCTCACTACGACATTCGTTGGGAAAGTACTGTCGATCTTTTCGTCGGCGCTGGAAAAGAAAAATGGCATGCGAAAAGTGAGATCAATGTTTTGTAAGATAATTACATACAGACTAATTACTATGAATTAAGTACAGAACGAAACATGCAGTTATCTGAAAACCGAGAAGAAGGTTAGAATATTTTCTTTTTCTAAATGGCTGGATCTAGCCGTTTATAAACGGCTAGAGTCCGCCATTGGAAAGCTTCTGGCTGTGAGAGCATTGTCAGTTTCGACAGTTTCCCGATATAGATAAAATTATAATCATTCTACAAATGTAAGAAAAGTTATTTTGAAAACTTTGTTAGTTTTGGGGGGCTTCTGCAGCACGTTAATGAAAAAAAATCAGAGTCTACGGTATCAAATTGGTTTTATTTTCTTAACGTTAGAGGTATTAAAGTAAATACTGAAGGAAACATTTTATTCTATATTGTAAATTTAAATTATGAATTTGCTAAAAGCAAATAAATTATTCACATTAACCTCTCGCATTTCAACATTCTTCTCGTTTTCCAGGTATTAATTGAATAAATAAATTATTGAACACCAGCTAAGGTACTAAGATATTTATGAACTCAACTGTATTTGAAGAGTACGTTATTTGCGCAAGTTCACGTTAGACTAGAGATGGGCAAACTACGGCCCGCGGGCTATCTCCAGCCCGCCGGAAGGTTCCGACCGGGCGCGGATAGAATTTTGCTTTGCCTGTCCGAGGCAAATTAAAGGAAATATATATTTATATATCCATCTCATTTTCAATTTTGTTTGAATATTATTTTTTTTCAAATGATTGATATCTTTTTACTTTCTCTATTTTTGTTCTACAAAACATAAATCGACGGAAATGGCAAGCACAGACAGCTTTCAATTGGTAAAGTGTGAAAAGCGGAACTCCTTTATTAGTTATAGCTGTAGATTGCCGCCGAAAAGCGTTATCTCTTTCTCGGGGAGCAGACGTATGGGAATCCAATGACTGCAGTGCGTTTAATGATGAATGAGCCTGGAAATATTTCTTACAGTTGTAAAAGATAAACCAGTGTGTCTCATCTGCAATGAAGCTGTAGCAGTCTTCAAAGAATCCATTCATTTCCCGTCATTTCACATCTAGGCATAAGAATTTCAATTACGAAGAATTGTCCGAATATGATAGAAAACAAAATACAGAAAGTTTTTGTAAAAAATTATCAGGCCAACAAAATTTTTCAAGAAGGTAAACAGTATCCAAGAAGCAGCTACACATGCACGTTACATTGTAGCATAACAATATTGCTAAAAATAATAAGTTCTCAGTGATGGGGAGTTCGTTAAACAATGCATGCTCGAAGTTTGTGATGTTTTATGTCCAGAGAAGAAAAATAATTTTGAGACTGTAAACTTATCTCTCGAAACGGTGATTTCTAGAATTGCAGACATCGATAAAAACTTTACATCACAATTAAAGTCAAAGATTGGCCAGTTTAAATTTCACTTCATAAGTATGGATGAAAGCACTGATATAAATGATACTGCTCAATTAGTATTATTTAAAAAAGGTAATGATGAAAACTTTGAAATTACCAAGGAACTAGCGTGCATGCGTTCATTAAAGGGAAGTACAACGGGATGTGATATTTTTCGTGAATTTCAGGAATGGCATTTAACTTTGAAAGTGCCTATAACAAATGTATGTAATATTGTGACCGATGACATGAATAAGACAGGAAAAAAATCTGGATTTCTTGGAATCTTTAATTAAACCTATACCGGGAACAATGTATTTTCTACATACACATCAAGATGCTCTGTGTAAATCTGCAGTTCAATATGAAACCCGTGCTTGATGCAGTCGAGAAGCTTATAAATACTATTCGATCTCATGGGCTTACTCACAGACAATTTCGAGATTCTCTTTAGTCCATGTAATCTGAACACTCTGATGTACTGTATTACACGAAAGTAAGTGGCTTAGTGGAGGATGTGTTTTTGAGTCAGATTAGCAGTTGAAAGACGACATTGTGTCGTTCTTCCATGAGAAATAGTGTTCTGCGGAGTGTGAAATGTTAGAAGATAGAGACTGGCTTTCGGACTTTACATTTTTCACAGACCTTCTTTGTCATATGACAACCTGAATGTCAAGATGCAAGGGAAAAATAAATTTTTCGACGATATCTGGGCCCATCTCAAAGCTTTTAAACTAAAACTCAATCTGTTTGCTGGACAGGTAGCTAAGAACGATTTGTCGCATTTCCAGAGGTTAAATTCAGTACTCTCAGTAAATAAAGAAAAAGCTTCAGAATTATGAAGATGGCTTGAAAAAAAACTGCATTTTGAGTTCGAACGCAGATTTCAAGATTTCAATGCCATTCAAAGAAAATTGGATATTTTTACCATGCCTTTCACAGTAAATTGTGAAGCAGTGACGTCAGATTTGCAACTTGAATTGACTGAGCTGCAATCTAACAATCATCTCAAGCAGTTGTTTCTAAATATCCAAAGTTAGAGTTTTACAAATCATTATCGAAAGTAAGTTTCCCAAATTTAATATTCACGCCCAGAAAAATCAGTGATATATTTGCTTCATCTTATAAATGTAAACATGTTATCACACTAGAAAGCTATTCATCTTAGAATTATCAGCTATTCACCTTAGAAAGAATTATTTCAGAAGTAGACTGACAGATGAGCATTTAGCCTCGTTCCTTAGCATCAGTATATCTTCGTTCGAAACTCAATATAAGGAACTTTTAAAAATGAAATCGCAATTTCATTCATCTCATTAACATATATAAATTGTAATGCTTGTATATTGTTTTTAAAATTTTAGAAAAATTTATCTTGGCCCGCCAAAATGTTTCTTTAGATTTTTGGCCCGCCATCGAAAACATATACCCATCCATGCGTTAGACGGTAAAAGCTGTTAATTGAATTATTTTTAAGGTGAAAAAGAATTATAATTTTATCGACTCCTTGGGCAGATAATACAGTTTTATAAATGAGAAGTCAATGAGTTGAAGTGTTTCATCAGGATATCTGATATGTGAAAGTAAGTAAAATTAATTTATTATTATCCTAGGATATTAGAATTTCCAGTTTCTAGCCAACCAGTAGCCACGGGTTAAAGTGGCTAGAATTGAATTTGTGCAGACGTTAAGGTCTTTTTGTTTCTTCCGGACTAAGAAATCAATAATATTATCCTTGGTATTCGAACCTGTTTTCAGCCGCACGTGCAGCTGACTACATCACAGAAAATCAATGAAAAGCATTAATTCCTTGAAATCTTATCAAAGGACATCTTTAAATCTTTAATAAACTAAAAACTAATGTTTGGATGAAATGAGAATTTTCACATTCCAATATTTCGAGTTTAAAATGCAGTCCGATTATTCACTTTTTCATTAATAGGAGATAAAATTCTGAATTGTTTAGCTTTAAATTCTATTAAAAATGTGTTTTGTTTTCAAGAAATGTCGCTCAATGTATCTTGGGATTTTTCTTTTGAAATGGACTTTAAGTGATATATTTTATTAACCGGCTTATTCTCTGTCAATGATTGCAAATGCCAAGAAACCGAAGTGCTGCTAATTGTAAATTTCGTAAAGGTGTTTGTAACCAAGCCTTGTCATCGTTAAAGAGGTTAAAGTTCATTAGAAGAATAGTCTTCAATAGGGTTCTACCAAAATCTTAGGCTTCCGTGCAAATTATCTAGAAGTTCCGCAAATAACAATCAAAATTTGATAGAATTTGGGAGTACCACATGAGCTAAACCTAAGCTAACCTAAGGTAAACATCTAAAATAATTATTTAGCAATTTATTTTCTGTTACAACTATTATCTATGTTTTCATGAAAGCAATCTCTTTGAATTAAATGTAAATTAAGCAGTTTAGGGAATAACAAAGAAATGTCTTTTTTCAGTCTGTTTACGTCAGAACCCATGCATTTATAGGCAATCTAACTGAAAAATTATTTTCAACTTTTTATAGCATCATCACCAGCCACAACAAAAGACTAACAAGCGAATGTTAAACACTTTTGCAGATACGTCATTATCGCCAGAGTTGTTTTATGAAAATAAGCGTAAGAATATTTCAGCTTATACACTTACTTATTGTAGAAATTAATAATATATTAACAACTTCATTTATGACACATCGGACAGTGTGCAGAGAGGCTGGATGCTAGCAGTCACTAGAATATTTAGAACAGTCTCAAATGCGGTAGCATGTATTCTTGCCGGTGTGCCCCCTCTGTCAATGCAATAGACGTATTTTTATCATAATTTTTTTATCGGAAAATGGTTTTATTGATGAATTAGATATTAGAAAGTAATTATAAATACTGTGATATGGATACCCATCCGGCCGAAAATACTTTAATTACATTTGATAAGAACTTTCTGGATGTAGGTCAGATTGATATTTATACAGACGGATAGGAAATGAATAATAGAGTTGTCTGTTCATGTCTGATTTATTTGTATAGAACAGAGATCGAGTACCAAATATATACGTTGAATCCGTTAAACGAAATTTTTTAAGCTGACATTAGAGCAATTTTTTATGGATTAAAGAAAACTTAACTTACAGACATAAAAAAAAATAAGTATTTATTCCGATGCTTTGTCTGCTTTATACGAAAGTTCTAATATGCAGACTAATACTTTATTAATAAAATAAATTAAAAATGATTCCAAATTTATGGCCAAATTCATAATATAAATTTAGACTGGATCAAGGCCCATGTTGGGTATATTGCAGAGAGCGGACACACTGGCAAAGGAAGCTGTTCAAGGCCTATGAAAGAAATTGAAGTGTTGTATTCGAAAAAAACGTTATTAAATATTCTGAAAAAGAATATATTTGTGGAATGAAAAGAAAATTGAGAATCGTCTATAATAAAAATATAAAAAAAGAAAAATATAAGAAAAATAATGGTTATATCAGATTTTTGAAAATTGACAAAAAGAAAATATTTAATAGTATAAATATGAAACAAATTATTACTGGTTACGGACGATTCTCAGCATATTTTA